GGTGCCCGGCCAGGAGCCGCCTTTGCCACCACGCGGCATCACCCGCGGCCGGGACCCCCCTGCACCAGCCTGTCCCCTCTAGCCCGAGGGACAGTGCACCAGCGGCGGAAGGGCCCAGCCGTCGCCCAACCCCACGCCGCTCTGCACAAACCTGGAGAGGCCCCTGCTCCACGCACACAGGCTCGGGGCTACCCCGCTCCTTCCTCCCCGGCAACAGTCACCCCCTGCGAGAGCGAGCCCCTTCCAGGGCCGGGGCAGCCGATGCCGATGCTCCGTGTGCCGGAGCTATTTCTGTCTGGAGGCCCCAGCAAGGTGACACCCCCCGGCCCCCGCAGCAGCGCGGGGCGGCCGCCCTGCCAGCATCCGTTTGCAGCTGCAAATGTGTTGACACCTGAGCAATAATCTCTCTTTCCTCATCCGAGATGCTCTGGGGCGGATGGCAGGGCAAAGCGCTGCGGGTCCCCGGAAGGTGCCAGCTGGCACCCAGGTAGGGGGCGAGCAGGAGGGGAGCGGGGCTTGCCCGGGCCAGAGGGGTGACTGTGTTCTGGGGGCAGCGCTGACTCCGTCCCTCCTCCGGGTTTCCAGGTCACACACCTGAGGGAGCAGCGTGGCAGGTCCCGGCTCTCCAGTGGGAGTTTCTGCTTGAAGGCCAAGACCCCCCGGCTCAGGGGATGGGGGCAGGAGGCAGCTTTGCCCTCCTGAGTCCCGGGACCTCGGGGGTGCCTCCACCGCGGTCGCCCAACCAGGGTTCCAAGGCCCGGCACCCTCCCGAGCGGCAGCAGCACCCCGTGGGAAAGCGGCGCGTGGCCCCAGGCAGGAGCTGCGGTGCCCGGGGAGGGGGGTCACAGGACAGGGGAGTGCGACCACAGGCGCTACTAATCGGTGGCTTCGTTAGAGAGTCCTCATTAACTGAGCACCTCCGGTGGCTGCAGAACCTGACGATCCATCTGGTGCCAGAAGCCTCCCATGCAACAGCGGCAGCTCTTTATTTCCTTCAGCCACATCGATTGAACACAATTCCAGCGCAGTTGATGCCCCCTCAGCAGCCAACGTCCCCCCAGCGTGGGAAAGCTGGTGACTAAAGCAGCGGGTGAATGATTAGTGACTCAGCAGATAATTTTGCTCATCTTGTGGCTTTTTTTAGCACGGGGAGGACAGAGCTCGCACAGCAAACCCCGGCCTGACACCGCCACCGCTCCCACCCCCCCGTCCCGGTGCCCCTGCCGGGGACTGGGGGGCGTTTGCAGGTGAGAGTCCGCTCGACGCGGTTCTCCGGAAAACAGGGAGGAGAAATCAGACAACGTGGCCGAGGGCTTGGGATTTTTCTTAACTCTCCCTTTTATTTTTTCTTTTATGGTCCGGGAAAAGGGAAGGGGAGTGCTGCAGCCCTGGCAGTGCCGCTCGCGCCGCGCTGGAGCTGACCCAGCAGCAGCCTTTGTCAGGAGCAAACGCTCAGCTCTTGTCTTGGCGGTGACCGATGTCTGAAACACCAGGTGCTGGCTTGAATTAACAAGCTCTTTGAGCTGGAATTCTGCTGCAAAACAAGCCAACGCCGCGGTGAACACCGCCGAGGAAAACCTCTGCCCGTGGCATCTGCAGCGGGGGGGCCCAAGGAGCGTCCCAGGAGGCTGCAGACGGGGACGGGGACGTGTCACGAGTTTCTTCTCATGTCCCCAGCCAGGGCAGCCGCGGCACGGCAGCACAGCTCGAGTGCTGGAGCCCAGCGCGACTCCGTGCCCGGCGGTGCTGAGCTGGCTCCCAGTGTGTCCAGGCCTCCGGGCAATCGGTGCCGGAGCAGAGGCCGACGGCCGCGTCCTTGGCGCTGCCACCGCGCCTGCATCGATCCCCCTCCATCCCATCCCCAGCGCCCCAGTGCCACCGCCACAGCACAGGGCCGTTGGTGTGACCAGTGTGACCAGTGCACCCAGTGCCAGCCGCTCCCATCTCCCCTGGGCAGCCACCTGTTGGTGGCAGACGGTGGCCCGGTGCCACCAAACGCTCTCACGGGCCCCAGAGCAGCACCCCGGGGTGTCAGCCCCAGCCACGGCGGGCGGGGGACGGGAACTGCCGCCTCCCTAAAGCGGCTTCGTTCTCACTTTCTCTTTAATGATTTCCCAGCTGCTTCCCCGTTTTAGCTGATAATGGGACTTCACTATCTGTCTGGGTTTGAGAGTTGCTTGCCTTGTTCAAGCTGAAGAAAATCAATTCCCCTCTCACTCAAGTCTTTCCAAGACAGATGAACTGAAGATCGCTCCTGCCTGAGCAAAATATTTATTCAGTCTGAGAACAGATTTACTTTTGAACCTTCTATAAATACAGCTGAGGGCCCCGATTTAATCCCTTACCAGAAGACCAAATTTTATTTGGTTTATGTTTTAAAAAATCCTCCCTTTTCCGACGCCCTGTCGGCAGGTGAAGAAAGGCAGGAATTTTGGCAGCCGCCTCGGCACCGGGCAGAGCCCAGCGCCCTGCCCTCCCCGGCACGGCCCCACGCACGACCCTCTGCACCCCGGGACCAGCACCCACCGCCCCAGGTGCCTCCCCGAGCTCCAGAGCAGCCGCGGGGTGCAGAGCCCGAGCCCCAGCCTGGCCCGGGGGATCGCTGTGCTCCCCCCGACAGCCCGCCTGCCGCGTCCCCGCCCCGGGGAAGGCTCCTCCGAAGGCACAGCGTGTCCTACACCACCACCGGCTCGCTAATTTGACACACTTATTAAATTGCTATTATGCCTGTTGGCTAATTACCTCCTCTGGAAACCAGAGAGGACAGAAATTTGACATTGAGCTGTGAAAATCTGCAACGCTACGGATGCCGGCTGGGGCCGGGGTGCTCAGCGGGG